TCACATAAGTCAAAGTTATTTACATTATTCGATCATGTGGCTTAAGAATTGCATGTGTTGTGTTTAAACCTCAAAATGGCTGGAGAACCAGATAACGGTGAACATTTACACCCCACTTATTCCCATCCAAGTGAAATGCAGCTAATGCTCTCTGTTGGCATAGTATTTCAAGCTCATCAATGTGCTCATTTCCACCATAGTTACCTTACATACAAAACAAGACTCTAATCAATGTAACTACATTAGTGAAAGAGGGAGGAAGCATTTAATGAGACATTCATTTACTTAGTGAGGAAAAAATATAAAGGAATAAAATTTACCTTTTGCCAGGCAAACCTTCTGAGTACTTATTTGTGAGGCATGAACCAACTGCTTCCATCACTGCCCTTGATGTAAAATTTTCTGAAGCAATAAGCTCAAGGCTTTTATACTGTCGGTTCTTTTCCTTGCCAACAATAGCATACACCTCAGGATCAGCTTCACTCAAGCCATAATCCAGAAAGCTACTTTGATCACCTGAAAATACAATTTGATCCCATGGACTAGAACATCAGCCTTAGGGGCAAATAATTAATGATTTGCATACCAATGCATATTGGTCTCAAATATTTGGCAGACCAAGTACCTTGAACATGGATCAAGGAATAAACTACTAATTATGGCATCAAAATCTGTAAGCCTTAGATATTTATTTGTTCTTTAAAAGCAAATACTGGCCACTGAGCCACGTGAAATCTTTCCAATTAAATAGTATTGTTACCTCCTATTTCAGGCACAGAGACGGAGAGAGTAGATGGCTTTCCACTGACCAAACTTCCTTCAACATAAGATGCCCTACAAGCCTTCACATTATTGAGCTTCACTTGAGGCGTAAATCCATAGCTGTCACACCTATTAGCAGGAAAATTCAGCACCTTGGTGCATGCAAATTGTTGCCCCGAGCCCATCATTGCAACTCTACCACAGACTTGCATCCTTGTTTATGATTTTATAATTAAGAGTCCTGCAGGGTCCAAATACATTGTACAACAAAGTTGAGATGACAACGCCACAACATAGCATGTTATAATTGCAATAGCTTTCTCTCTTACGGACATAAAATATTTTAGACAAACATATTTCCTACTCTCAAGTTACTTCAAGAATTCAGAATTTTTTCATACAGATGTCAGTATCTAAATACAAATGTAAATTCCATGAAATGAAATTCTCAAAAGTTAGAAGAGTTAACTCATCACTATTTCATCCAGAAACAACCAATCTAACTGAAAAGAATAGCAACTATCGATCTAATAATCATTAGTTTGTCCAGAATTCATATAACGACACTAAAAATGACGTTTTCAGAAACGCTAGACAACGATAAAAATAAAATAAAACGAGCAGTTTAACTTGAACGCAACCTAAAATGTCCAACAATGCTCCCTAAAAAAGAATGATAAGAATATACAGACATAAAACTCAATATGCATATCTTTCGCCAAGCAATTATCTAAATTGCCAGTATCAGACCATCCATATATATATATATATAGAATAACAGCAGAGCAAAGATTAATCATTTTGCAGTACTCCTTTACCCATAATAGCGGGACTGATTAGACTCGTCTAAAGAAAGGCAAGCAACGCTAAGTGAGCTGAGGAGAAGAAGACGAGAAGAATGGCATCAGAGTCCAAAGGAAAAAAAGAAAAAACAGAGGGAAGCAAGAAGATGTTTGCTGTCCCAAAAGAAGAGAGGAACTGATGGGACTCACCCCAGGAAAAGCCAATATGGCGACGACTGGTGCTTGTCAAATTTTCTCACAAACAAAACCCCTGAGCTCGGGCAGCAAAAGAATAGAGGGAGAGAAGGTGGGAGAGAGAGAGAGAGGCACAAACCAAGGAGAAGGAGAAGAGATGGGAAACGAGCACAGAGGACGCACACCGAATTGACGACCGTGGCGACGATAACAGCGAAGCGGCGGAGGCAACGTTTTAGACTTCAGGTACGGCGCGCGCACGAGACATGGGGAGAGATTTAGGTTGGTAAATTGGATAATGGACAGTAGCAGTTTGTCTATTTAATTTTTTTTAAAAAAAAATTAAATTAAAATTAAAAAAATGAGAATATAATTATTTTAAATTATATAAATAATAAGTTAGTCTCTCAAAATAATTTTACTGAAATATTTAAATTCTAGATCAATAAATTTTAAAGTAAAAATATCATTTTATTTTTATTAAAAATAATAAACTTTAATTATAATTTTTATTTAAAAAATAATAATTTATTTTGTAAGTCAAAACTCATCAAATATAATTTTTATTATTAAAAAACTTTTTAAAATAATAAACTTTAATGATAACTTTTACTTAAAAAATAATAACTTTATTTTATTATAATAACAAGAGTTAAATAAAAAAATTAAAATTTATTAAATATAATTTTTATTATTAAAAATAAGTTCTTAAAATAATAATCTTCAATCACAATTTTTATTTAAAAAATAATAAATTTTATTTAAAAATTATAAAAATTAAATAAAAAATTATAATTTGTTTATAAAAATAAAAAAATTTATTTAAAATTTATTAACACAAAAATTTTAAAAACTTTAATGATATTATGATATTTTAAAAATTAATTTATTATTTATATGATTTGGAGATTTTATTATATTTTTTCATTAAAATTTAAAAGTAAAATCACAGAGTTACCATGCAAGAATTCTAGCGATAAAATAATGTCCCGGAATGCAAAAGTAATTCTGAAATCTCGCAAACTCCAATAATTCAATTGTAAAAATGTTTTGAAATGCATTTATCAAAATATCCTCATTTACCAAAAAAAAAAAAAAACTCTTTCCTTAATTGCTAGCGCTGGTCGCAAGCCGATGCCACTCAGCTGCTTTTTTTTTTTTGGGTAACTCTAAAAAGTCTTGATTTTTATTTGGTAGTATTGATTCAAGATATAAGATACTTTAATATTTTTAGTTTTTTAAATTTGTATTAACTACCAATTTGAATTTAATTTTTATATTTTTTTAAAATTATCATGTGAATCCTTTAAGTTTTAAAATGTAAATCGACTCTTAAAATAATCTAATAAAGTATGATAGGGGACGCAAAAGAAAAATCGTATTAGTTAGGAATAAAATCCTAAAACACAAAGCAAACACAAGAAACACAAAGGAAATGAATAAAAATATGGAGGAAGAAGAATAAAAGAAGGAAATAAAGTAGCAAATGAAAGATAGAAATTAAAGAGATCTTCTAAGATACTTGACTCTGGCAATTTTAACCACACCATAAGAGTTAATGAAGTTTTTGATCACATCTATATTCAATGACTCACAAGAGTTATAAACTTTAAAAAATAAAAATAATTTGATTATTCAAATCTTGTTGGGCTTGTTGGACATGCAAGATTCGTTCTCCATCATTCCCTCCCTATTCGAAAAGATTTATTCTCAAATCTCCACCATCAAAATATTTCTCAACACCACTTGAAAAAGGTAAGTACCTAATTATTCTTGAGGATAATAATTCAATTGATGGCTCCTTAGGATAGGATTCTCGAAAGACCTACAACTTATTAGAAACACAAGGCGAGAAATGATTAGGATGGTTTGTAATCAAATAAAGATCCTTACAATCACTCTCAACCTCACTTTTCTCACAATTCTTTTGATCATTATTTTCTCTATTTTCTCATTACACACTCAACTCAACATTCTCATTTTTATTCTCAATATTTTCAATCCCATTTTGTTCTTTTCCAATATTTTTTTTCTCAATCTATTTCTCTCACTCTGTGTGCTTTCAAAATTCTAACTTAATCCTCACAAATCTGCATAGGCTCAAGAGGTTTAAATACAATAATTTTCCTATTGAATGCAACAAAGTAACAATGCTTATGCCAATCCTGCTTGACAATTCTTGAATATTTTATGGATGGCCTAATAAGATATGAAAGACTTGTATAGGGGTAACATCACATAGAATTTTATCTTCATAAATACCCAATTTTTAAGAAACTAGGACTTGTTTGGACACTATAAACTCACCACCATCCTCACAAAACAATTTATAAGCTTGAGGATGAGGTAGGCAAGCCTAATTTCTCAACCATTGAGGTACTTGCAATATTCCAACTTTTATAACCATCCATGATCACATGATAAACTTTCTCTTTGATGAAGCATAAAGTGTGGAACTCATCAACATCATTATTGAATGATATGATAATCAATTTGTCCATACCAAAAGCCAACAAGAATTCATAGAATAAGAGAATAAGAAAGGGAACCTTACCGCACACCTCATATATTTACACTCAAATAGGATAATTAATCACTCTTTTTTTAATAATAAAATTTTACACTTGCTTTTTACTACTGACTAAACTTGTGAATAAAATCCAATGATGAAACAAACAAAATCAAAGAACTCAAACAATCAAATGAAAATTTTCTAATTAAAATATACTAGAAAATAGGAACAAATTTTTAAAGAGTAATTTTTTTATTTTTGAAATCTCCTTAAAAGAAAAGAAAATTTTCAAATAAAACTAAGCTTAAAAGAAAATGAAGAAGGGCATGAAAAGCAACAAAATAAGGAAAGAAAAATCAAATAAGTCAAATGCTCAAAAGACAAAAATAGAAAACTAAATGAAATAAGAAAGTGAAGTGCTTACTCATAAGTTAAGAGAAGAGTACCTTGTAATGAAAGTCAACAATCAAATTAGAGAAGTTACTAAAAATAGAAAAAAAAAATAAAATAAGAAACTAGAAGGAAGATAGGAAATCAAAATGATAGGAATGTACTCAATGGAGACAAAAAAGAAAAGGAAAAGTAAGAGGAATAGAAAAGCCTCACCACTCAAGTTTAATAAAATAGGAAACTTTGTGACTTGGGATGGAAGCTCTCAAGTTAGAAAACCTTTCCACTAATCTTGCAAACTTGCAACTTGATTCCTTTTTTTTTATTTTCAAATTTTTTTCCTTTTTTTTTGACACACTACTGCTTTTTTCAGCACAATTGCACTCTCTCTCTCTCTCTTGCCTTGTTTGCACAATTTTTTAGGCGTTTTATTTTTTCGGTTTTTGCAATGAGGGGAAAAATTACTAACTTAAAATAAGAAGAAGTAGATGGAAGATGTAGATATAATCACAAAAGATGAAACTAAGGTAAAGAACAATTGCATATGTCCTCCCTCACTTGGAAAAATGACATGTATAGGGATATGAATTGTTATATTTTTTAATTTGCACCCTCTATTTCTTATATTTTGCACCCCATTATTTTAATATTTTAAACTTCAAATCCATTTTAATGTTACTTTTTAGCCTAGATCTGTTCAATTTTTTTAACTTAAAACCTAGTGAATATTATCTCATAATTTATTATACCTAAATATCAATATTATATCTTAATCCTACAGAAAAAACCTAATTTGATTAAAACCATGTCCACATTGTCCTCATCTTGAATAATAGTCAAGAATTAGTTAGAAAAAAAGGCAATGAAGAATGAAGACTCAAGACATTATGAGTAAACTCATTAAATGCCTTTAACTAGCTCGCTACATTTGTAAGTTCTCAAGTAAAAGTTGAATTAAGAAACAAAGAGAAAGAAAGAAGGAAAGAGAAATAATAGACTCGGAAGAGATAGAAAAATTTTCTTTGTGCCGAGAATTCCAGCTTCACTACTGCCCTCGACCCAGAATCCTACTCCTATACTAAAACTAGCAACTAGTCTTTGATACCAACTGATTGGGCACGTGAAAGCAAAATTATGCTAGTTAGAAATAAAATCCTAAAACACAAAGAAAATACAAGAAATACAAAGTAAAGGAACAAGATATGGAGGAAGAAGAATCAAGGAAGGAAATGAAGTAGTAAAGGAAAGATAAAGATCAAAGAATCGTAACCTATCTATAAAAATCTTAACTTTCAAAGACACCATAAGAAAGACTTATAAACTTTAAAAAATAAGAATAATCGTATTATTCAAATCAAACTTTGTTTATAATGTAGAAATGCATGCCTACATATAGACAACTCAAGAAGACTCAAAAACCCTAATTCTAACCTTAGTTGGATGAAAATATTATAAAAATAATAATAAAATTTCATCCACATAATTTAACGATTATATATTCTAAAATCATAAGATTACATTATTAAACAAAATCATAATCTAGAAATAGAAAACAAAACTTAAATAAAATATTAAGCTAATATTTAAATTTTAATCTAATCAATTTAAAGCAATCAAGGGGTATGTCATCATTCATACAATCATCCCTGTGATCTTTTTATGTTTTTGGGTCACTGATTGATTGTTAGACTCTTGGTTTTATCTTACCACTTTTGCATTGTGAGCCTCTTGGCTTTGTTGGACTTGTTGGACATGCAAGACTTGTATTCTGTTTAAGCATATTCATAATTCGATATGTATGTTGTTAACATCTAGAAGTTCATGTTATTTCATCATATTTTTCTTAGATTCTAATCCATTTTGGTTCAATTGTATATGTTTTTATTGCCCAAATTAGGAAAATATGCATTTTATTTTTGGCTTGTGTTCTTGACTTTAATTTAATATTTTTAGCCTAATTTCATGTTATTTTAATTGAAGTTTTGATTAGAAGCATTTCTGGAGCTTTGTGGATGTTTATGGAAGGCTTTTGGATGAAGAAATCAAGAGCAAAATGAATGATTTTCGTTAGCTATAAAAACAGTGCAAAACTGCCAAAGTCGTCCCAAAGTCGTGACTTTCATTCGCAACTTTCACCGCTGTTAGAAAAACGCTGCATTTCATTTATCAGAAATTAGTTGGCTAGGACACATATAAGCTAAGAGCTCGACCCAGAACGCATTCTTCAGACTTTTAGACACTTTTCGAGCTTGGTTGTGCTAGGGTTTGGGCATTGGAAGAGTTGGGATCAAGAGATTGAAGCTTTGAAGGCATTTGGAGCTCATTTTCTTCGGTTTTTTTATTCCTCTTCCCTTTCCTCTCTTGTAATCTGAAATGGGTCCACTTATTTTGTATATTTGTAGCTTGTGGATGATTATGAGTAGCTAAACTCTTTGTTCTAGGATTATTTGAAACCCTTGTATGGATTAACACTATATTTCTCCTCTCTTTTTGTGATTAATGATATATATGTGTTTATTTTACTCTTTCCTTAATGCTTCTACATGATTGGCCACCATTTAAATGTTGGGTTTACTTAATTAATGCTTGAGAGGGCTAGGTTGAGTGTAGAACTTGGGTAAAATTGTGTAAGAACTTGATATTTGCATGTTAAATGGATGGTTTTGCTAGTAAGATAGAGATATACTTGCTAGCCTTACATAGCCACATTAGGGTTGGTTTTTAAAATTGAGTTTTATTAATTGTAACAAGAGATTGTGCAATCAATTTTACTAAACACTTGTTCATGACTTGAGAGAGCTTGTCCAAGTATTTTTAGAACCCTAGGTTAGCACTTATTTTCATTAAAAGCATTTATGAGAGGAAGTAATTTTGATGTTATGAAATGCAAGGGGGATAAATAATCCTAAGTCCTAAATTGTGTTTGAAGTTTGTGAATCAATTCCTTTTCTTTATTTTCTAGAGTTAATCTCATTTGCAAAACCATTTCACCTAACTATGTGTAGCTCAACTTGATCAAATTTGTTTAGTCTTTTGCTTGATTATAATTTTCTAAACAAATTCTCGAGGGAACGATACTCTACTCATTTTATATTACTTGCTACGACCCGTGCACTTGCAGTAAGCAACATATGTGTAGCTAAATGTGAACAAATTAATCTTCAAATGAGTTTAATTTTTATCAAGATAATTCCTTACAATGTGATTTGTTCTTTTGTTTTCTAAACTTTTAGAGGACCAAATTAATAATTAAGACAAATTTGAAAAATTAAAAATTGTATTATTCCAAATTTTGTATAAATGATCTTGTTAATTAATCATATTTTCAAGAGAACTTATGTAAGAAAGAAATTAAAAATAATTAAAATGTATGAATTTTTATTATAATGTAATATTGGAAAGTGGTGATAATTTTTTTGGACCAAAAAATTTTGGTGAGTTGAGCATTAGCTAGAGTCAGAACATGCCTTTAGGTTTAAAGAACACTTATAAAGGTACTTACAGATCACCTATTAACAAGGTCCTCATATTGGCAACGAAATTTGATCCCATGATCTTGTGGGTTGTAAATCAAATTCTCACTAATTAGACCAACTTTTATTGATAAACTTTTTACCATTTTAATTTAATGATTTATATCATTTTTTAAGTTATTATTATTTTTCTTAGTCCTCGTAAGGTAGTTAAAGGGTTCATATATTTTGAAGCAAATAGAATAATATTTTTTATTCAAAGACAAAGTCCAATTAATAAAAATTTAACTCATAATTCACTAAATTGTGGGTTCAAATCTCGCTCATAATGTAAGAACATGGTTGGTGAGCAATTTTATAAATATTTTTTGAGCTTACAGGCATATCTTGATCATAATAAGCTTGTGAAATACAACTCAAATTTTTTAAAATAAAAAGAGTAATAATTTTTTCTACTTGGTAATAAAAATTTAAGATTTTAGACTATACCCAAATTCGGACACACAGATTGTGTAAATTGCAGATTTCAGGGCAAATCACGCTTTGAATTTGTGTATGAGAGACCTCGGGCTGACACCGGGAAGATTCTGATTTCTGAGACAAGAACAAGACATTGCTAGAGCGGCGTTTCCTAGATTGTGTGTCTGTAACTTTCTTTAACATTTATTATTGTTTTGTTACTCTTTTATTTTATTATTATTTTTCTCAATTTTAACTGTAAGTTTATTTAAAAAAATTAGTGTTACATACAAATTCGGGCTTTTTATAGGCCACACAAATTTGGGATTCACAACTCTTTTATAACATATTCACAATTCATTTTTTTTAAATATATATACAGGGATTTGAACTTTACATTTTTAAATTAAAAAAAATCAATTACAAGTAGTTATTTAAGATTGGCAACCAGCTTAAAAAGTTTTTCAAAAGTACTTAATAAACTCTTTAGTTGTCAGTTATTTAGGTCTATTTATTTAAAATTAAAAAATAAATAATTTTTAAATAATTTAAAGATTTTATTAAAAACGAGTTTTTTATACAAGTTTTTTAAAACACTGACATCATTTTATATTTGGTTACAAACTTACAATAATAAAAAACGATATTTTTCTTACTTTTATTTTATTAAAATAATTATCTATTCTATTATCTTAAAATTTTATGATATATTTTTATATTCCAACTTTTAAAACATTTTCTCTTATATACTGAATTAAATTATTTTTATTTTTGAGTAACTTTTTGACAAAAAAAATCAGAAATCTGCTTTTTGTTTGGGGCAAATTCTGCTTATTTTTAAAAATTTAAACAAATATCATAAAAACTTGTAAAACAAATTTCTTTTAAAAATCAAGTCTTTTTTTCATAAAATAAGCTGAAGAAAAAGGCCCTTAACAAAGTTGAATCAGTTTGTCAATTTGTCAGTCGTAGCATTGATACTTCGAAGCCAGCCTTCTTTGGTTGTAAAGTGTGAACACGTGAAGATCCTTTTACATAAAGTCTGGTCCCCGTTTGGTTGGGAAGAATCCCTCAAGTTCCATAATTTGCGACTCACGGAGACACTTCTATCTAAGGTACGCTCATAATAAGTTAATTATTAACATTTAAAATTACATTACTTTTCAAGTTGATCCTTAATTAATCAATTTAAATAATCATATTAATTACACCCATTAATTAAAAAGACTTTTTAAGAACTTTAAAAAACATATCTTATTTAATTAAAAAGACTTTTTTAAGAACTTTAAGAAATATATCTTATAATACTAAATATAGGGAATAGTTAAAATGCTAGTTTTTTGTCTTTTTAAAATAACATCAGTGTGTATGCTTTTGGCAACAACTGATTGCATGATTAGTTTGATAGGAATTTTTTTTAATTACATACAGTTCTTATCCTATTGAATATTTTCCTCCAATTCAGCACAAACAATTATGAACTGTTCAAATTTTCTACTCGTTCAGAGATGAAAATAGCAACCGCGGGAAAATTCTAGAGACCTTATGCCCAACAAAAAGTCTTAAAGGCTAGGCTACGGTTTCCCCTACAACATTTAAATATAATTCTTGCCCCCAGAAAGTCTTAAAATGACTTAAGGAGCGTGAATAAAATCTAGGTTTTCCTGATAATTTTAGCATTTCTATATCTGATGTGGAAATTACCGTTATGTACAGCATAAAAGCTCATGCAGAAATTCTCCACATACCAGACCTGTATCCCATAGACATGAACAGAAGCTCCCAAAGCATGTTAGGAATACTCAGGAGATTCACCTTGGATCCTGGAATCTCAGACCAATTCACAGAAATTTCCGAAACTGGGATCCCAAACCATTTGCATAGGTAGACTAATTCAACATCAAAGCACCACCTGCAGAGAATAAATGCTAGCACCATCAACAAAAAAGTACCAGAAAATTAAAATTAAAAAAAAAAAAGCATTCAGTAATTCAGTAAATTATATCAAGAAGATGTTATTGAGACCTTTAGAATATTGATGTCAGGTTCAGATACACTTCTTAAATATGGCATACAAACCAAAAGAGGTAGATACAGAAGATTGGAAGACAAGCAATTATAACGAGTAAAACCACCAATCTTCTTTTATTTCTGGATCTATTCCTTTAAAATAATTTAAGAAGCTTTAGTATTCTGTAGATATTAGGTGTCATTACCTCCTTAAGCGCACATTTGTGAAAAGCTTTCTAGCTGCAGCCCTAGTAAACATCTTGAAACCACACTGTAAGTACAGAGTCAATCAGATGAGCAATTAAAACCAACGCCATCGTGAGGCAAAAAGACAGGCATTGTACTTAACCATATTAAAGTTGATAGGCAATCAACATGCAAAAAATCATTTCTGAAGAAGGTTCTAGAAGGCCAGCCACTAGATACAGAGAGAATCATATACAGGTCAATAGGTCATAAGAGGACTATGGTGTCAGACTGAGGTCAAAAATTAAATGAAGTTACCTGAGTGTCACGAATTCCAGGACCAGCAGCCAGGAGAACCACAAGATGGAAACCCTTCATCAAAAAATTACGATACCACTTCCTCTGGAAATATTAAAGCTAAATACTTTAACCAAGATGATCATGACAAATGTGACAAAGATTAAAAGAAAATAAAGAAAGAATGTGAAGACTTAACTGTAGCCAAAGCCTTCTCCTCCAGATGAGCCCTTGAACCAAAAGCAGCGACAGGGACATCAGATATTCTAAAGCTCAAATCACTAGTGGCTGAATCTCCACTCTTAAACTCTTGTTTTGCAACAGCTTGGATCTGAATGGTTAAAAAAACAAAAATTAAAAACGATTTGCATATCAAAGTATAGCAGAAGAAATAAAAATAGTGATTATAGGCAAACCTATGAGAAACACAGATACAAAAGCATTGCACCAACCCGATTTTCAAGCTTTTCTAGGTCAGTGACTTTAGTTGCTCCATCAGCATCCAGCATCAGAAGTAATTCACCACGTGAATGAAGCATTCCCTGCAGTAATACAATGCTTTTAGAAAGAAAAGCATTAATAAATTGTCATTGAGCACAGAGCATGATGTGCAGACATTCCTTATATAAGAAGAGATTTCTTTTATTGTTTTGAACTAAACTCACTTTTCTGATTGCTTCTCCCTTGCCATGATTTTTTCCAAGAAGAATAACCCTCACATTGTCCACTGTATATTTCCTCACAAAATCAAATGCTACTCTTTTAGTCCCATCAGCACTTCCATCATCAATAATCAAAACCTGCACAGGTATACATTGATTCAAAATAAATACAAGAGAGTTCACTAAAAAATTCAAAAAATTGATGGACATAAGTGGCCGGAGGGTCAGACTTATGATAGGAGAGCCAAGCCCTATAAGGCTTACACTAGGAGGAAGGATAATAACGTGGAAACCCAAGAAGAATGTCAGGAAATTAAGAATAGTGAGGGGGCCAAGGCGGGTTATGAAAAAGGAATGGGGGAGAGTGGTGAGGATTGGTCTCTCAGATACCAGTGAGTTTGTGTAACATGTACGTGCGATGAGTCCATTGAACAAAGTCCTATCCTTGTTACCCTAGGCAACATGTTGTAGGTGTTTCCGCAAACACTAAGTGCTCATCCATGCATTATGATAAACTAAACTTCATTTCCATTAACCACCCCAAAGCTCTCAACGCACCTGAGTAGAGAGTGGACAGTTAAGCAGTGCACATATGTATGTGAGTGCTTAATTAATTTCCCAGCAAAATGTTGGGTTAACAGTAGGGAGTGCCCTACCCAACCCATTATCATGAAACTGACTATACATGTCATTGTTTGAAGAAAATTGCCTCCTCAGGTAAAGCTTTTAAAAATAAACATTAAACTGACTATGCATCAGAAGTGAGATACACCAGCTGGAATAGCAGTATGCAGAGAGGTTTTTCAAAGTTATCAGGAGTTATGTAAAATCAGTCACTTCAACCTACCATTTCAGAGCTTCAAACAATATTATCTAAAAGATATTGTCAGTAACTCAGTAAGCCTTCCAGGGATAATCAACTAATTATATGAAATACAAAACTATTATAGTTCATTGCTTTACTCCATGGACTATACATCTTCTATACATGACTCTATATTGTTGTTAAATTAGCATAATGAACCTGAATCTAACTAAATTTATTTTTTTGGGAGAAAGTATGCAATCAAAAACTCTTATTCCTTATAAGGCATCAATTGAGCATGAAAGTAAAGAAACTGATAATACCTCATATGAAAATGAAGGATCCTTTGAGGCACGCTGTTGAAGATAACTACGAAGTAAAGGTATAAATATCACTATAGTTCCACATAGCAATTCTCAGCAATAGCCCGTAAACAGGAGAGACTTCATTACTTCTCAGAATAAGATACCTTAAATAGCAAAACACACCATTCTAACAAATACTAAATTACACAAATATGTAATCATGCTTGAAGGAACCAAGTGCATCAGAATAGGTATCTGAAATAATAAAATAAGCGCATAGATATTTAAATGTTTTATTATCTCCTACGAATTATAAATTCCCCCATCAGTTACTTTTGCTTATCTATCTCACTGGTCTTTTTGGATCTTTTTTGACTGGAAAGCAGGGGAATAAATTTGTTGCTAATACCATATCAAGTGACAAGTGACATGCAAACCAATTCAACAATATTAATTAACAGACACATCAGCAAACTCATAAGATAGGTTGATTGTATCTTACAACACATACATAGCAGAAAAATAAATAAAAGGAAGACCAACGTGGACAAATTAGAAGCTAAAATAATCCAGCCAAATTTCTTTTGATGAAATCATAATGTTGATAAAAAGGCCTGATTTAACTTACTTCATAGCTTCATCAAGAGCTCCAGGAAGCCTATGCTCCTCATTAAATGCAGGAATTATTAAAGACATATACTTTGTAGCTGGATCAACAATGTGTGGGCAAGGAACCTAAATATACAGAGCAAGAATCAGTCAAAAGACCCACCCAACTCATATATCAAACATTCATCCTCATAATATGTTACCTAACTTCACAGCTTACACAAATGAAAATCCAAGTAAAAAACATCATATATAAAAGAAAATGAAAGTAAACAATTATTCTATTCCGACTAATAGGTATTTGATGGGCATGCTTAAAATAATTATTCAACTGACAGAATAAGTTATACACATCATTTCCCATGTGATCCTTAATGCAGCCAAATTTATTTTTGTTGTGAATATGAGTAGTTTATTGCTTATATCATACTTCATCTTGAAAGTTTAATAGTCTATGATTTTTATAAATGAGCAGTTAATATATATTGCCAAAGAGATAGTAACTCAAAACTTTAAGCTGTTAAATTATGACCAATGCATAGTTTTATTACAATCTCTTTTTCACTCACACAATGGCCTATGGGCTTGAAGTGTGATTTGGAAGAATGGATCAAATTCATAACCACTTGATCACAAGGCTTTGAGAGCATGTCAGAAGCCCTTTCAACTTAAAAGCTTGCACAACTAAATGAAAGCCTGCAAATGGTTTTATAATAATCCTTAGCACATAATAGTCGTATAGCAAAGTTAAAATTTCATTATTCTTCATTCATAAGGGTTCTCAATTAACTTCCTTTGAGTTATATACGAATATTCAAAGAAAATAAAACTTTAACAAAGAATTAGTGGCCATAGTGAGAAGAGGGGGAAAAAGGTGTATGCATTCTATAGATATTGTCATATTGACACACCACACAGCATCAACAAGGGCACAGATTCTTCAGAATGAGCTAAATGCCATGGTTTTTCCTAGTCAAGCTATTATATTTCAAATTTGGTAACACTCATTGTTTGATAGTTCAGATGTCGCATTTTGCTTTTTCCATGTGCTATCCTTATGAAAAAGATAAGTACATTAGTCCACATGAAAAGAACGTAAAATACAAACTAATTTCACCAGAAAACATATCAGGAAAACATCTTAAAAGGAAGACTAACTTCTCCGTCAAGCATAAAATTGGGAAATCAATCCAATTATCTGCAAGCAGCAACTCCAATATGAGTCATAAATCTTTTAGTTGAACACATAAAATGAGTAAAAGAAATTCCTAAGCCATGTACCTAAGCGATCCAGCAAAACCAAGAAAATATCAAAAAGTTCATTCACTCCATTACATATACTTCTCTTCTGATTCACTTCGAAATGTTGCATGTTATTTAATAGCAATGCATTATTTTCATGGCTACTTCAGAATGGGTTAATCCTGACCAAACAAGATAAGTAACAGTCAATGGACTTGGTAGCCTTATCGCTCTTTTATCTTTTTTGTGTAAATGTTGATTAGATTACCCCAGAAAACAAGCATATATAAGATAAAGTGTTTGCTAAGATATTTTTTATTTGATAATTGTAGAAACTGACACTTAGGCCATGTTTGGTAGGTTGGAATTGTGAAGATGGAAATGGAATTGGGATAGGAATCTGAATAAAGTGATGTTTGGTATATATGAATTACAATTCTTGGGAATCCTAATTCTATGGAAAAAAGCTGAATTGAATTCCTTATGTAAATCTATGGAATTGGGAGCAATTCTATAGAATTGTAATATTTAAGACACTTTTGCCCTCATACAAATTCCAGAAAGACAAATTTGCCCTCAAAAAAAAATAAAACCCTTATATGCTAGCAAAAAAAAGAAAAAGGGAGTATAAAAGAGTGAATGATATTTTTGCTCATTATATATAAAACGTTATAATATATATATATAAGATAGTATTATATATAATATTTGTATATAATTTATATATTTATCATATTTTTTTGGTATAAGAAGTAGAATTGATTTGTTTGACATTTTTCTTCTAAATCTACGTGTTAGTGTATTTATTTTAAAGTAGAAGGGATGGGAACCATTGCCAATTTTATTTTCAAGAAAATGTTCCCTCTGATGATAAAACTTTTTGTTTGGCCCAAACTAGTGAATAATAGTTAAAGATATAATCTATGATTTATATAATATTTCATTAATATATAAAATACATAAGAAAATTGGTACACAATTAAGTTTTTATTATGTTTTATTTTAATTTTTATATAGGGGTATTTTTGTCTTTTAAGTATAATTCCATTTCCATGTCTTGCATACCAAACAAAAGTAATGCAAGGATTCCATCTAATTTTTCTGACATACCAAACATACTTTTATAATTCAATTCTATTCCAATTCTGATTCCAATTCCAATTCCAATTCCATCAAAAACTATTCAATCATACCAAATGGGGTCTTAAGGTGCATGATGCACCTCTGACTTTTAGGCCAATAGAGTATAGAAAAACTCTAGCCTAGAACTCATTCCATATAGACCTACTCAACTGCACAAAGTTTTAAAAATGAGCCGCAGTAGTAACTACTTACGAATAGTATAGTTTGCTATAGATTTTATTATATTTATTTTCCACATTTCCTTAAGAACATTAATCAGAGTAATTAAGAGTCCCAAAAATATTTTAGGCCCTTGGACAGTAGGGCCAGCAAAGCAGAACACTCCAAAATTTTGAATGACCAAAATAGTTGGGCCATACCTGCAAAGTAAAAATGAACAGTAACATTGGATAAAAAAAAGGATGCAAGAGCATGGCATAGTAAAAAATTCTAGATTTCCTATCATTCAACTGTATTGCTTATTGCCTTACAATGCTCCTAAACACCAAAAGGAGAAATTGATTTAACACAGAAGTAAATGGTTTACCTGTTTCAATGAATTAGGATCCTCAAAAATGGCCGCACCTTCAACATGCCTATTGTTATAATAAAAGATTACAATAAGAAACAGATTAAATAACTGCATGTTTTTTAAAATAAATTAAGTGAACATACTCATGGTTATTTCTTCTTCTATATGCTTCAAAGATTATTGCAGAGGCAAATCCTACTATTGCAATCAGAAATAAGATCACAAAAAGATCAATCATTGTCCGCACAGATTCCATTCCTTTAGGTGCTGTACGGGTTGCTGCAGTTATTGTATATATGTTGCCCTTGTTACGTAAGAACTAGGTTTGCCTACACTGTTGACAGTCAACATTATGAATAAGAAGTAGGTTTGCCCTTGGTATGGCATGGATCATACACATTCAAACATTAAAAACATATCTAAGTCAATGCAGTTAATAAATACAAAACAATTTGTTGTTAGCCTATCAAACGTACATATGCCCTACAATCTACAGATGCTAAATCATACTTTGTATTGAAAGATGTTTTGAGATAATTTTACTACCCATTTTCAGATCCAGCAAAATAAGTGAAATACCAAAATACCTTGTAGTTAAAACATCATATTCGGCTGGGTGGGTCACTGTATAACCCAACTATCAGTCCCTACGTAATAAAAAAGAGTAAGCTCTTTTATGAATTGTCCTATTGGTCCTCATCTAAGGAATGCTGAATGCTGTCCCTCATAGGATGCGGATCCCCCTCAATTGCGTGTCAATTGTCTAACTTTCCTTCGTTGGATTGATATGAAGATTTGAAGGATGAGACAACTTTTCTTCCAAAAACAGCTTTATGCTCTGGTCGTTTTTTAAGAAGAGGAAAAATGCTTAAGCCCTGGTTCAGTATAATAAAAATCAACTCCAATGTTTTAATATTATATCAGAGAAGCAATATAGGATGAAGCTTGGATTTTCAAATGAGGAAGAAGATGCCAAGAATAAATACTGAGAAAATTGGCGATATTTCCATAAAACAGCTAGTCCTTTGGATCAATTTGATGGAGGATAATCAGGCAATTGACACGCACTTAACATTCTCGCACGGGAGAGAGTCCACTTCCATTCCGCATATGCATTTTTCCAGAACAATCGGCAACTTCAAAGTAAGCAAAGCATGCAGCTTAAAATAATAAATAGGAAACAGAACTTCCCATTTGAATTTTCAAACTACAAACTTCAAGAATAACAAGAGCACAAAACCATGAAAAGCTCATAAATGTGTGAACTTATCATTCATTCCATACAAGCTGGAAACAGAGAAAAAGAACAAATCACACACAATTTATTCATTTAATCACATTATGAGATAAATATGAAACCACAGAAGAGGAAAGATTTCCAGAGTTAACACGATGAAACTAAGGAGGGATTAAAATATTACATTGAATTGTTGGATTCAGACAAATATCATTTGAAGCAAACCAGTTTGGATCAGAAAAAGGTATTAATTTGGGGATTGAACATTGGACGCAAAGAACTGAAGGAAAACTGCAGCACTCGAAACCCTAACAAGTGGGGGGAGAAGGGCAACGGAGGTAGTGGACAACGCAGTTGAATCTTGACTCCTCCCCTCGACCTCGAGTTTTCTGTTTCGTTTTTCCGTCTTCGGCAAAGCATTTGTGCATTTGCATTTCAATATTCCTTTTTTTAATATTATTTTAGTTTAATTTAATTACTTAAAATATACGTCATGTTTTAAAATTAATTAATAATTAATGGTCCCTGACCAAAAAGACTTTTTGTAGGCCTCGCCAATTAAAATCACAGAGAATGTAAAGGATTAAATTATTTAAAAATTTAAAATAAGGATGAAAGATTATTAGGTGAATTCATCTAAAAATTTGTCAATGTGAGTTCATAATGAGTAACCAAGAATTTGCAAGTGTAATCCGCTAAAGAAAAAATTGTTAAACATACTATCATTTTCAATAATTTACTATTCTCATACCCTTATTTGCAATCTCAAAATACAGTAAGATTTGGTAATTTGTGAAAAAAAATAATATTTAAGTAATTATATATTTTATGCAACAATTTTTTTCTTTGCAAATTAGCAAATCTCACTTGTAAATTTTTATTTTTTTATATTTTTTACAAATGTTATCCTATTAAAAATAATCATACTCAAAATATAGTCAAACATTAAATGAGGAATACATCTTTCAAAAGATTTGAATATTAATTCATTAAGTTATGAGGCCATCATATTCAATCTTTTAAACTAATTTTCTAAAATTATTAGGACTATTGAAAGTTTAAAATAAGGACCAAAGGTCCTTGAGTAAATTGTTTTAAAAGTTTGTCACTTTCATTTTGATTTATGCAACCCTAAAAAAAATTGTCAAGTGAGATTTGTTACTTTGTAAATTTTGAAAACAGCAACAAGTTGCATCAAGAAAGTAAACCCAAGTTAACATGCATGCTATACAATGCTACAACAATAAGTTTTATCTTATCCAAGAGGGTTAGTTACATGAATCATACAATGTTAATGTATTTTATATAAAAATTTGCAACCTTAAAAACAAAAAATTTCAAGTGAAGTTTGCTAATTTGTGAAGAAATAACTTGTCAGATATGTCATTAATTGAAGATCATTTTTCTTCTCAAATTAACAAATCTTACTTACAAATTTGTGTTTTTAGAGCTACATATAATGGTATGAAAATATCAAATCATTAGAAGTGTTAATATGTTTAACGAGTTTTTTCTTTACTAGTAAAATTCTTACATTAATATTAAGATTTAAGCTCATAACTTTATAAATTATAGATCAAATTATTATCAATTAGATTAGTCTTTATCAATGTAGTGACAAATATTTCTTGCATTATGTGAGCAATAATTTAGAAGATAGCCAGCTTGTTCATTTGTTTAATAGCCCATGTGCTTAGGTTTGGAAATTTGGCCCTAACTCGTTCTTCTTCCCATTGCATGCCCTAACTTCACCAATGAAAATCCCAACTCTCAAGTTACAAACACGATATCTCACCAAAAGATGCTTGTTCAAGTGGTTGGGGACTTAAACAGCTTAATTTAAAATTTTATGTTCAAGTCTTAAAGTATGCAGTAGTGCAACTGAGCATGCAAAGCATGTCTCGCTAAACATACATGCAAAACTCTCTCAAAAAGAGCCCATCTAAGCGAGGATCTAAATTAGTTTAGAGTGAATTGGACAGGTAATAAATTCAGCATACCCAAACGCTTTAAGATATCAGGTGCAATAACCACAAAAAAAAAAAAACACACACACACACACCCCATCTCATGGGAATCACAAATTCACATTTCATGCTTATTACAGTGATGAGTGCATGAAGTGTTCATTATCAATTTAAATTGTCTGAAATTGATTTTCGGTTATTTAAATGTAATTTTATTTCATTTTTATATTTTTATATTTTTTATTTTAATAAATGTAGAGTTCAAAATAAAAATCATCTTATAATTTCTAGCCTAAAAAAATCTATCATTTAAAAAAAATGAAATATTGAATACTTTAAACATAAACTGTTCAAACTAAATTTAAATATGATCAGTGCTCACAACTTTGACGAGAACTGAATAAAGACTCTATGATTCCATGCATATGGTGAAGTGTTTGACTTCATTATGTGTTTTAACTGTAATCTAATAATATGCAAGCTTTTTCATTAAAAAAAAAAGTGTTAGTTCAGTTTATTTTGTATTTTTAAATTGTCAGTGCACTCCCTCTAAGTAAAAAAAAATGGACGATTTTTTTTTTTTAAAAATTATCCCATGGGCTTCTTCCAAGACAACTGGATATCGGCCCATTGGGTTGACCACATTGATTCACCATTTTTTTTTTAATAATTAAGCTAGAGCGGGATTGTCATTGCACACAATTTACACGCAGCACTATTTCTTACAATTTTTTATTATATATAAATAATTAAATATTGATGTGTAACTTTTTTTTTTATAATTGTTATAATCTGAGTTACCATCTGGTTACTGACAAATGTCAGTACACGCACAGGCATTTGTGGAGCTTAATAATCCCATCTAATGTCTTTCTTTTGGTTTTTTTTTTTTATTCAAAATCTTCAGAGAGTTGATTATCAAAAAACAAAAAGCACTAGGAACTGAAATCCGAGAAACTCCTTAGGATCAATGCAAGTCTTCAAATTCAAAAAATATTTATAAATTATCTGTGAATAAAATTTTCACATCAATAATAAGATTTAAATATACAACCTTGTAAATTATTAGTTCAAATTTTTACTCAGTGTATCAGCTTTTGTTATCACAAATGAAAGAGGCAAAAGCTGGATCTAGAGAGACAGAGATGCGCATGATACTTGTGAACCAAAAGCTCATGGGTCCTTCTCTTGCTATGATCAATGCATGTCTTCAAATTCAAAAAATGTTTATAAATATTTATAAATAAAATTTTCACATTAATAATGAGATTAAAATATACAACCTTGTAAAATATTAGTTCAAATTTTTACTCAGTGTATCAGCTTTTGTTATTACAATTGAAAGAGGCAAAAGCTGGATCTAGAGAGACAGAGATATGCATGATACTTGTGAACCAAAAGCTCATGGGTCCTTCTCTTGCTATAATTAAAGACACAAGTGGGTGCCAAGTAGTGTGACTTTCTTCTTTCTTTTGTCAACCACAGCTTTCTCATTTTGCTTTTGTTTTCTATCCTTCCAAACACTATTTTCTTACCAATCTAGAAAGCTAAGTGCTTAGCCATAGGTTTTGTTTTTTTTTTCTAGCCATTTTTTTATATTTTATAAATTTTCTTAGAAAATACATAACAAAAAATTTCGAGAAAATCTGGCATTTTGCTTGTTGTCATTTCATAAATAATTTTAAATATATAATTGCACTTGATCACATGCAGTTCTTCACGAGTTAGAACAATGCCTGCACTATTTACAGAAAAGAGTGCCATTTAAGAATATTAAATTGATTATAGACAGTTTTTGTCCCATTGATTAACTAATACGCTAAAAAAACAGGTTTTTCGTAATGCAAAATGTTATTCTTCAATTTCCATGAAGTTAATTTATGGTATTTTTTTATATTATATTATTTTTATAAAACATAAAATTTTATCCTCCTTTCTTTTCTTAAAAAATTCATGAAATTCATAGATTTTTTCACTTCAAATAGTTCATGCCCAAAAGTCTATTTACTTTGCAGTGCTAATTTCGATGATAAAAATTTTAAAAAGAAAAAGACATGTTCTAATTACTTACAATAATAAAAAAATAAATGAGCCAAAAAATAAAATGAACATTATATTAAGTTTAAATAAAATATTATACAAATAATATGTTTCAGTTATTTTTAATAAACAAATAATTTTTAACTTTTTTAATTACAAATACTAAAAGGCTTAATTTTCACTTCACAAATTTCAATTAGCAACTAGCAGGCTTCTTATGTGCCCAAGATCTCTGCAAAAATTACAGAGGCAACCCGAATGAGTTGTGCTATGATGTCCCATTATTAGTCATATACTCAAATTACAAATATTCCAACCACAAAAAAAGGTAAAACAAAGAATTAATACACATCAAGCAAAATCACCAACAAATCAATCAATAATTAGTAATCAGCCTCTCCAAAAAAAAATATTAATCCCTTGCAAACAGATAAACTTCTCATTTGGTCCTCCATACATATCATTTCTTTCATTTAATCCTTGTATCAATAAATACTTGCAATGTCACCCCTTTCATCATCTCTTGATCCAAAATTTTCAATTAAATATAATATTACGTTGACTTGAATGTTAAATTTAAGGTGTAAATTAGCATATAACCAAATGAACACACAACATTCAAGTCAAACAATGTCGTTTTAACACCAAATCTAACCAAAGCACTAGTCACAAGTTCAATGTTGAATTTGATATGTGAATTTATCATTCTAGATGAACAACCCACATTAAGTCAAGAGAACGGTTAGATTTGATTCAAGACTATATGAGGAAAGGGTATTATATTGCAAAATCTTAACAATTGAAGGACTAAAATGAAAAAATGATTCATGGGGACCAACTTGAGAAATTTACCTATTTGATGGGAACGAAATATGATTTTGGTGAAAAAGAAAGCTACGCAAGAAAAGGCTAACAGTAGAGCGGTGAGGAGGAGGAAGAGGAAGACTATGATGGCGGAAGCTAGTGAGCCATGGCTACGGCGTCTTGATAACGAATGGTTCTCTGATGAGGCATGGCGAGCATGGCAGTATGATCCAAGAAATCCTTAAGAGCAACAACGGATTGCAGAATCGTTCGGAGATCTTCCGACGAGGAGAATCCGAAGCTTCCGATACGGCGAACGGCGTAGACATAGAAAGTAACACATCCTTTTCTGAACTTAAACCTGGCCATCTCGCAACCAGAAAGGCCTCGAATGAGCTTCTTGTTTACATCACCGAGAGGGATCTCGGAGGGCCAGGTCCGATCCACGGCGGCCTTCATGGTTACAGAATCGAAGACGAAGAGAAGCACTTTGGATTTTTTGGTGCCGAGGCCGAGCGTGAGGGTGTTCCAAGCTTGGTGGGCGAGGATGGTGAAGTTAGTGGGCAAGTAAGCGGTGGTGGAAGGGAAGGGAAGAAGCTTATCGTTGTGATGGCGGTCTTTCGGGTCGGGTGGGTAAGAGAGGAGTTTGAGGAGCTCGAGGGGTCTGGCTCGCCGGACGGTGAAGGATTTGACGATGAATTGGCCGCCAAATCGGAGGCCCTTGACGTCGGAGCAGGGCTTGAAGGAGAAATCGGAGGAGGATTTAGAGGATTGGTCGTTGGGGTGTTGGTGCTTCTGCTTCTTGTTCTTGCTTTTGGTCTTCTCTTTCTCTTCCATGGCTGTGGAGAAGACGGAGGACGTCTACGATGACGAAGGTGGCGATGATGGGTTTTGCGTTTTTCGTGAAGAGTGGGATTGAGAAGTGGGTTGTGTTGTGCTGCGCAGTGGTAGCGGCGGATATTGGGAGTTTGTGACTAGTCAATCCAATCTTCAGATTCTGACGGCATGTCGTTTTGGGGCGTTACTTCCTTTCCAACTTTATTTCTTCCTTCTTCCTTTAATTAAAAACTATTATATACTCACTTCACTTTTATTTATAAAATATATTTTAAAAATTTTATTTTATTTCATTTATATGTTATATAATACAATTTTTTAAATAATATTTAAAAATATTTTTAAAATTATTATTCATAAAAAATAATATAATCTTATTTTTTAAATTTATTGTATAAAAATATATTTAAAATTTTATATATTTTTATTTTTTAATATTAATATTGATGAGATTAAAAAAAATAACTTATAAAAAAGATAAAAATATATACATAGTGTGTGTATGCATATATGAATATGTATGTACGACTGGGGCCAAAGAAACATGATGATTAGCATCCATATGATATGAGCTTTTTCCCTGGGCACTATGTATATGTAAAAGTATAAAGGCTGAGTAGGTTGGTTTTACTTTTCTTTTCTTTCTTTCTTTCTTTTTTCCTTTTTACTTGTGTTGGTTTTACTTTTTATTATTATTATTTTTTTAAAAGAGTGGCTGGTAGAGGCATTAGGCTGTTAAAGGGGTAAATGAAATTATTAGAAGAAACCTTTTGTTTAACAATATGTTGAAAAGGCCTGGTAAATAATCGATACACAATGATATCAAATGGTCTTGTAATTGACTTTTGACTTCTAATAAGTAAATTTTCTTGTTATTGCATTGCGTAAGCATGCATATTATCTTGGTTTTGCTTTACCATGCAACTTGTTGCTATGATTTTTTTTTTGGATCAAAACGTGTTGCTATGTGCTTTCGAAATATGGCTTTCAATTTCTTTTTAAATATGCACTATATGTATTGAAAAAATTTCTTTTATTTTCTAATACATCAACATAGTATCCATATCAAATATTATTAGGTATACATAGCATATAACTCTTTTAACATGATTTTTTTAATTGATAAATTTCAATCCCTCTTGGCTTTACTCATGAAATATTAAAACATGGGAAGTTTTATTACTGGCATTTTTTAAAGAATTAATATTATGTGAACACATAACTTTTATGTGTGCATAAAGTGAGCCTGCATACCAATGAAAAAAATATTATTTGTTATAAATTTCAATTTTATATTACTATTAATGATATAGATATTTAGTTTCAATAATAAAAATTGTTGAGGATTGACAGTCAAGATATAAGAAAAAGAAGGGTAAAAGTCACTATTACACCAAAAATTTTGGTCAATAGTTTGTTTTATGTATCTTTGGGGGACAAAAAGGAAAAAATCTGGAATGTATGTGATATGTTGTCGTTTTATATGTTTCTAAGTTCTAAATCTATATTGTGATGGGAACCGTTCAAGAATTCTAAATTCAATCATTTTAAAGTATCGTCATTATTCACATCTAAGCTTAACAACAAAAACATCAGTACGAATTGGAATGTTGTAAAGCGTCAGATAAATATAGAGAGAATGAATTTTGAGAGAAAACGACATAGTAACTATTCAGTAATTAATCAATAGACTAACATGAAAATCATATAATGTTTGTCGTAAAAAAAGTAAATTAGAAAAAGATGCGTGGCTGCCCTGACTCATCAAGGACTAATTAGCACTCAATTTCTGGTAAATTAGGAATTAGTAATCGGTGCATCCTTATCAGTGAACTGTTGCTCTGATCATGTAAATTATTTATGGAAAAAAGGAATTCTATACATTGAAGAGAAAATATTATATATATTTATATATATAATGTGTGGTTGCAGCTTAGTGCAGGATAATGTTTCAGATAACATATTCAAAATCTGGTAGCAGAGAGAAAGGGGGATGAGAGGTGTGTGGTGCTGTGTAGAAGTAGGAGATAACAAAGGCTTCCAGCACCGACATTTTATTTATTTATTTATTTTGGAACTTTCAAATGGGAGAATGATAAATAAGTTCTAGGAAAATTAATCAATTTAAATTAAATCTTAACCAATTTTAAAGTGACAAACTTTAAAAATTTACAAACTCAGTTATCAATTTTACAACTTTATTATGATAAATTTACAATTTGTGTTTCAAATTTTAATAGAAAAAATAAATTTTTTTATTCTTCAATTATGTTAAAATTTAAAAAATAAATTATAAATTAATCACAATAAAATTACAAAGTTGAAAATTAAACTTACAAATTCCTAAATTTGGCATTTTAAAATTGATTAGGACCTAATTTGAATTGATTAATTTTCTTAAAACCTATCTATCATTCTTCCTTTCTAAATTGTACGCATAGTGGTGCATTTTTTTAACATTATATAAATCAACCATAATTCACAATGTTGTGTTGTGAAGGACTAGACTTTTTTGTTATATTTAATCTCTCAGTCTCAATCCATACTCTTAGCATTAAAAGGTAGCATTTTTAATAACAAAATAAAGTATTTTTGTTCCAAACTATCTTTTAATATCTTCCTAATTGTTTTTATTGAAAATTTCACCATTAAGAGTTGTGCTCACATTTAATACCCGATTCACCTCAAATAGGATTACTTTTAATAGAAAGATAATAACAAAATTAGGAAAAATCATTAAAAAAATTTTGAATTCAAGATAAATAAATACTTGAAAATTTAGATTTGGCATTAGCCTCAAGCCGACAACATTCTTTGAGCAAAGTCTCACCATGTAAACAAAAGATCACATTATCAGAGTTTTCTCTTAACCAGGATTAAGCTGACTTGAATCTAAATTAAGTATTAGTATATGATATTATATGGTTTGTTACTTGAAAAAAAGTAAAAATTATCCAAAAGGATTGTAGAAATGAATCATAATTGACACTTTTAAAAGTTGTAATTTATTTTTGCCAATGGTATTAGATCTAGTGGAGTAAACTATTCTCACATAATGTGACGAACCAATACTTAAATTCTTATAAGGAGATATAATCATATTTAGTACACAATAAAAAAATTATAATTTAGCAGGAACACAAAAAAATTGCAATTTATTTTTTGTACAAAAAAGTTGAAATTAATTCTTAACATATGATAATTTATCTAGAGAAAGTAGAAAATTTAGATCAATGTGACATATGAAACATCATACTATAATTTTCAGAGGTACAGGTAATAGGTGTTAATTAATTAATTGTCAATTTCCTTTAAAATTTTAGGAGGGGAGGGCATGTGATGAGCATAGGACTTTGGTCATAACCCATAATTACACTTAATTAAGGGAGGTGGGGACCACAGGATTGAAGGTGGTGATGATGATGACCATCTCATGCAGCTGCTTTCAGCCTCCATTATTTTAATTTCTTTTAATAATAAGAATTCCCATTTCGTGTTATTCAAGAATATTTGCAAAGCTATAATTAATATTGATAGTTTAATTAACTCACATTCGTTATTTTTGGCTCATCATTCTCAGTACTTAATGAACAGTTTTAATATAGGATACCAAATGCACGAACTAGTGAGATAATTTAGCCTTTGTTTGTTGAAATGTGACCCCATCTTCAGTCAATGATGAGGTTGGTGCTTCAGCCTTTAGATCAAGAAATTATGTGTGTGTGTAGTAAAAATGACACAAGTTTACGGTTATTTTTAATCTTATTTCACAATTTTTAATTGTTAAGCAAGGATGCAGTCAAGTAATTTTAATAAGAAATAACCTCCAAGCGGTAAGAAGTATTTCCTCTGTTAAAATATATATAAAACATTTTTTGTAAGCAAGATGTTTAAAATTATAAAATATTCTGGATCTTTTAAGGTGCAATCAATGAATTTTTTCCAAAATTAATACCCCTTAATTAGCAGTATAATTAAGAATATTTTCTAATTGAGATACCATTTTAAATAAGAGTAAGCATAAAAAGAGTGTATAATTTTAAAAATAGTTAATTAACTAATTGAAAGTATGATTTGGCTAAAAATACTTTGTAATATATTAAACAGAGGGAGTATATCATAATTATTTAATAATTATTTTCAAATGTGTGTAAATACTTGATTGTCATATAACCATAGTATTTATATAGTTGACGTGTATTTAAAATAATCATAGAATATTCTTTGCCAGTGTTAATTTGTTGTTTTTTTTAATAAATGACAAATATAAAGCATCATATTTAGATATATAATTTGGCACATTTCAAGGCCAAGCCCATTTTGTCCTCTTTTTGATGCATGAAGGTGATGATTTCTTTTACCATGCTTGTTATTCTTAATGTATGTTTTAAACTATCATTCAAGTTCAAACGCTTTCTAAAAGAGTTTCTTATGATCCTAACTTTTAAACTTTTAAATTTAAAATCCTCCTTTATTATGATAACATAATGTAAGGATTTGCTTAATCCCGATTATTATGATAATATTATTGTGCTGTGTTATAGTAATGTCAAAATGGATATAATACGGTGCGTGATACAAAGCCATTCTTTCTTGACTTTCCTCCCTCTTTCAAGTTCATATGGTCCAATTTCTTTATGAGCTCAATCTTAAAATTGAAATCAAAGTCCAATAAAACCAATTAACTCTTTTCAACTATTTTCAAATCTAAACCCACTTAGATCTTACCTAATTATCCTTTTATTAGTTTGATTAATTATGGAGTTAAAATTCAAGATATTGCAAAATCCACCCCACAAACAACACATCGCCAATCACCAATCCTAGCCCTAAGTTAAGGATAGGAAGCA